CTTTTGGCCACTTGCTACGTACTTCTTACTTCGTAACGTTTTAATCGAACTAGTACGAGTACGAATTTTTTACGTGCTTCCAAGCATAGGTATTTCATACTTAAATGATTCGAAAAATTAATTATCCAAGACCAAATTTCCTTACATTATTCTTATAAATAGATTTTTAATTTACTTTAATGCAGCTACAGTAATCGTTGTCACAATTTATAGTTATATCTTGATGGTAGCATCTAAAAGAATTTTTATTGTGCTTTTTTTCGGATCGGGCTTTTGTTCGGGTTAGTTAGGGGGATTAAGTATTAGAAAGGTCAATGTATTTAGGGTTAATTTAAATTCAAATATCACAAACTTCTCACGCTTGTCGCAACATGTTGTCAATGAATCTACGTATTTGTAAATTAATTTTAAAAATATAAAATTAATGTCTTACCAATAATTGCTTGATTATTGTTGCAAACACCCGTAAATTTACTCTAAATTTAATTTTATAAAATTTATAAAAGTTAATTACCTTATCCCAACTACATTTACAATAAATTTGAGAAATAATTAGTAAAGAAAAAATAATTTGAAAAATAAATTTCATTATGATAAAGCTCAGAATTTAATTTTCAATAGTCAAATTTCACTAGAAAATCTTCAATTTGCTATTGGATTAAGCCCTAATCCTAACGGTTTTCACCCATAAAGGATATAAGTACCGCTTAGGATTGAAATTAGGGTTGGTCCCCGACCCCGACTAACCCCGACCCCGACCCCGAACCCCGACATTTTTTGACCTAAAACCCCGACCCCGACCCCGACATTCCCAACCCCGAAAACCCCGACCCCCGAAAGTTCGACCCCGACGACCCCGAACCCCGAAAAATTTTTATGCCCCCGACTCAAACTGCATTAATTAACTAGAGATCGGAACGGGATCGGGACTTTGATGCTAAATATATGAAGGAAAAGGGAAAGGAATATTTATATTTTCTCCTGTTTCCTTTTGTTGGTCGATGGTTGAGTGGTTAGGTTAACTGACTTCAGCCATCTAGCTATTTTGATAGGAATGTTGTTCGAATCCAGGGATGGAAATAAGGCTGAGAAAATTTTTCTTCTCAAAAATAAATACATATTTTTAAACTATGATCTTGATTTTAAATTTGCAAATTTATTTTTTTAAATATTTTACACTTGAAACAATATTAGAAATTTTAAACTAGTCATGAATTTTCCAAAATTTTCGCCTGCGGCGCAGAAAATTGAAGAAATCTGTCTCTTGGCCTTCCAAAATTCTAAAAATTTTCGCCTGCGGCGCAGAAATTGAAGAAATCTGTCTCTTGGCCTTCCAAAATTCTCAAAATTTTTGCCTGCGGCGCCGAAAATGGAAGAAATCTGGCTCTTGACCTTCCAAAATTCTCAAAATTTTTGCCTGCGGCGCTAGACTCAATGAAGGGATACAGAGGCTTTAGGAGAAATTGATGGATAGATGGATTTCTCCCGTTATCCTTGCAACTCCCCGATATCCCGTCAAATCCTTCTAAATCCCATTATATCCATCTTAATCCTCTGATATGCCTTCATATCCCCTCAATCCCTTTACATAAGAAGTGGAGTAAGAGTTACCTTGTGGGTTTGGGGATTTTGGGGATTATGAAGGATAACTTGGATAAAGTACTTCTTGCGCCTTCAACTAATCACGAATTAGATACAGAAAGTGAAGATATTGAAGATTAAGTTGATTTTTTAATAAAAATGTTGATTTTGTACAGTAATTTTGGATAAAAATGCTGGATTTTGTAAATTTTCACTTCAACCCCGACCCCCGACCCCGACCCCGAACCCCGACATTATTTTCAGCCCCGACCCCGACCCCGAACAATTTGAGCAACCCCGACCCCGACCCCGACTTTGTCAACCCCGAAAACCCCGACCCCCGACTTTTCCAACCCCGAAGGCTCGGGGACCAACCCTAATTGAAATAATAGTACCTTATAATGAGGTGTAATTAAATGGATGAAATTCTTTGTACAAAATTGTTTCTGAAACAGAGGGGTAACTAATATTGGAAGGTGTATCTAATATTGTGGGTATCTTAGATAGATAGTATTCCTTGGGTAGATCCTCCCTCCACCCAGAGGTCAAACACAATTTTAAAAACGTCTCTTAAGGTATCGAATAATGGGATTATCTTATAACGAGGAATATCTAATAATGAGGTATATCTTAAATAGAAATTTTCATTTAGTCAGCTCCTCCACCCATCAGTCAAACATAATTTTAAAAACGATGGTTTAGCTTATACTGGGGCCAAATTAAAATTAATTTTTGAATAATAAAATTGACAGCCTATTAAAGCTTCTATATATCCTTCGTTTTATGACGCAAATCAAATTAAAATTTATAGCATGTAGTTTATTACTTGAGTTTTTTTAAAGAAATTTTAGTTTTTTTCATAGGCTATTTAAATTTAAAAATTAAAAATCAATCACGTTTCTTACTAGAAAAAAATTTTTCTCAATAAAATAAATTTTTATTATAAACTAAACAAATAAAAAATAATATTATAGAAATTAATATTTTATTTAAAAAAATTTTATTAAAACTTTCCACGTTTTTTAATATTTTTGGGGGAAAAATATTAGCTTAAAAAATAAAAAATGCTTTTAATAAATTGATTGTTTGAATTATGAATTTAAAAAATTTATTGGAAATTTATTTAAAAATTTATTTAAAAAATTTATTAAAAAAATTTATTAAAAATTTAAAAGAAATATTAGTTTTTTTAAACAGTCGAAGAGAGTTCGAATCGTTGAAAAATTTCGAGAAAAATTGTTTTTTGATTCATAATACCGGTTAAGTGTTTGTGCCAGCACTAGTCATAAATAGAGATCGAACTGGGAGCGTCAAAGAGAATAGAGATCGAGATCTTCGAAAAAAATCTCAATCTTTATAAAAGATTTTTGATAGAGATCTCGTCACGTTCCGGTATCTGGTCAAAACCTATTTCAAGGCCCAAAATTCCAAAAAGTTTTCAATACGTAACATGATAGAGGCTAATAATTAAAATAGGTTTACCTCACCTACAATTTCCTGACCCATCTTCTTTTCTTATAATACGATCCCTGTATATTTATATATTATAAAGATCATTCAGATAATTATTTCCGGTTAATTATATATGTATAATTAATTTAAATACCTATACCTATATTTGAAATTTAATTTTAGGTTATCTTTTACATTTTTAAAATTAAACTTTCATTTATTAAATAGGCTGTATGGGCGCCTAATCGTTTTTGGCACGCCTCGGACTAGATTGACGCCTTTACTCATAATTTTTGGAATATTGAACTAAAAATTCAAAAAATTTTGGTGATCGTAGATGAACACAAAAGAGTTAATTATTCGAAATTTAGGATATTTCTCGATAATCACTTAAGAACATATGAAGGGCTATTCTCATCCTTTTATTGACCTTACCCGCGATTTTCGTTTATGGCCCGTTTCGAGCTCCGGTTTTGAGTTTCGTTTAACCATCCAAAAATACGTGTTTTTTGTATAGTTTCGGCCGTTCAAATTATCTGACCATGCACAACCTCAATATAGCACCTTATTATAAAACACTTCAAATTCTCAGTCACTCGCGCCCTAATGGCAAGTCACTCCTTTTTTAATTCTTACCTTTAAATTCTATTTATAAAATTATTTAAAAATTTTTCTAATAATAATACCCATATTTATGAACAAAATACCAATAACTAAAGTAATTACATGTATTTTGTAACCAATAATTTAATTTATTTTTAGCTTAAATAAGAAATTAGAAATTAAATTAAGGCTATATATTAGTTAAAAAACCTATAAAAAATTATTATTATTTATAAATAAAATAATAAACACTTGACTTTTAATTTTACTTAATAAAATTAATTAAATATCAAAAAACATTTTAGGCTCTTATCCAGTTTATGTGTCTCATAACGTTGTGCATTGGCTTTTCTATAGTTTTCAAAGCTGTAATGATTTAAAGGTTTTGGGATTGAAAGGTATCTAGAAAAAGTTAGTAAGAAAAGGTTGATAGGTAATTAGTGGTGCTTCACCGGAACCGAAATCTTGACCGGAACCAGAACCGGAACTCAAAAGACCTTCCGGAACCTTCCGGAACCGAAATTTTGACCGGAACAAGAACCGGAACTCAAAAGACACCGGAACCTTCCGGTACCGTAATCGGAACTTCCGCTGAAACTCTAATAATTAGCCTTTTGTTCGAACCCTTAAACTTAAAGCAACCTATATCAGAATTAAAACTAAACGGAATCCAATATAATACTCCTTAATCGACAACTTTATGGTGATCATAAAAACAGATAAACTCTTATTATAATTATCCAATTAAAGATACAAATTATTAAAGAATGGATATAATCAACTGGATTGTCTCTCTACGCATTGAACTGATTTATTTATCAGTTGTGTTAAGTATACCTTCCCTAATTTTATATATTTCTGAAATTGTTGTTATTATTTTTAAAAAACAATTTCATAATTCGTTTTATGCTTTGTTTGTTTTGAGAGCTATTATGGTTTGTTTTTAAATTCGAAATATCTTATACCGGGAGACATACTTGAAGTAAAGGGCTATCTTTTGTTAAGTAGACGAACACACGCACAGAGCCAAAGGCATACTATGGAAATGAAGCTGGAAAGTTGACTAAAATTGACACCAGGGATGTCTCGGATTATTCAAAACTGAGATTTTTTCGACTTGAACCCAGAAACCAAATCAATTTTCGAAACGACCCGACATTTCTAAGAATTTTCCCATGAAAGTAGCTTTCCCACACAACAGTAATGGACAAGCTATCCTTGATCTGCTTTAGACTATTCCATTATAGCTTAGTTTATCTTAGGATATAATGGTTGCTAGCTGAGAATACCCTGTAAATTTCACCTATTTTGAGTGACAGTTATTTAGGACTAGTGCAATTTAACCAAAAAGTACAGATATTCAACTATTTCAGGATATGCTTTATGTTTTGGACTCTTACTATGGCTTCCGACTTCCTACACTTTTTGGCTCTATACTTTATCCCTTGTATTCCAAATTTCCTCAACCATTTTTGTCACTCTTCACAGTCCTAGCTTGCTATACTTTTCAAGGAAATAATTTGGCTACAACATTTATTCTGTTAAATAGACTTACAACTGTTGCTTTTCCTTTTTATCATGAAAAGGTAAATAAATAGATAGTTGGACCCAATTATAAGGTACCCCCTTGGGAATGAAAAGATTGTAGCCCATGAGGGGTATCTCAAAAGATACTGGGTATCTCAAATGGGGGTAGGTATACTTGGTATTCCCCACTCAATCCGAACTGCCCATAATTCACTGACGTATCTTACATAGATGTCTATAATATAATGAGGGATAAAACTAAATTTATATTATAATAAGGTCGTCACACTTTAAATAAATCTAAATTTGGTTTTCTAGATATGGACCAAGTTGTTACCAATCTCAATATTAATTTCAATACTTGCCCCTGTTTGCTTTTCTTTTCAATTTTTTTATATGGACACTATACTTAATACAGAATTTGATGAAAACAATAAAACTGTCGCGTTCCAAATACTTGAGAAGACTGGGGTATTTTTTTAATATTTTGGCACCCTCAAAAGATAGACGTTGCATTCTGCTATTTTCAGACTTCCCTATTCTCTCTCGAATTATTTATTTAATGCAATGTTAAAAATAAATTTTTATTGAGTTTAAAAATGTAAAGTATGTATATAATACGATTGAAAGGAATGTATCACTAATGTTAGTCATGAAAAATAGTTTTGATTAATATCAGTTCGCTTTTTTCGACTATTCTCCTCGATAAATTTAACCTCTGGTAATTGATTTATTTCCCGTATGTTTTAGACATTCACCTGAAAATTAAGAATTAAGTTGTATTAAGAACATTGTTGTAGATTTGAACTTGTAATTTATTGACAGAGAAACTTTCATTTGTTTGGCAATAACTACCTAAACAAAAATACCTATGTATTATTTTGAAAATATGTAAATGAGAAAAGACTGAAAAATTAAACGCTTTTATATGAAAAAAAATCTGCGTAAACACAACGCCAAACGTTTTTAGATGTGCCGAAATAATTTTATTCAAAATATTTTCAGGGCAATTATTCAACGATTATGACTTTTTTTGATCTCATATTTTCAATTTGTTTTCTAATTATTTGCATTACAATAAGTTCAATTACTTTGTTCCTCCATAATCGAAAAGTTGATTCGACTACACAACAAAATTCAGCCACAAATTCGAAAATACAAATTAGATTGCTTTTTTATGCATTACTTACATTGTTAGGACATATTTTATGTGCAATACTTATGGTAAAAAAGTTTGAATTAGTGCTAAAATAAACAAGATTAGAGCTGGACGGAATACGAAATTTAATTATTTCGAATCAAAATGAGATAAAAAAAATTTGGAATAATTACGGAATAATAAACAGGCTCCGATTGGTGGTCCACTGAACAAAGTGGGGTGAAGAGCTAATCTTAAGAGGAATGTGTAAAGGGCATTTCTCTTCCCTCCCTCTAACCAGAGTTTAACTTGAATTTAAAATATCAAAAATGAGAGGAATGCTCAAGAAATGCTTATATGCATATGCAAAACTTTACATATTCCAGATCTGCAAAATATAAACGATTTACAAAATTTTCAGATACTCTTTTGGGTTATCTACAAATACGACCCTACAGGAACTAGCCCTGTATTTAAAGCTGTATATCAACAATATCCTTGGGTGATGGATACAAGTACAATTGTATTGTCTAGTTGGAGTCTTCTATGGGCTAGTAATACATTTCGACATGAACTGATTAAATTTTATTTTCCAAAGCGAATGTAATAATTTTTTAATAATGATCTGATCTCATTGATAGGTCACTAACAGTAAGTAGCTATAGATCTCTAGGCAAAGATTTCTATCCAAGACACTTCAGAATAATTACAACAAATTCTAGATACACTTCAATTTACTTGGTAAATTGGAAAGAAGGACCTAGGATTAGTGAATACTATTTAAGATATACATACATACCTAATCTTAAGAGATAACTGAGTACATCATAAGTAATCATAAGTAGGGATAGGATTTATATTAAAATAGGGCACAAAAACGACCTTAATCATAAACAACTCTTGACTGACCAGTGTGTGACCATTAAGTTCGATTAGAAGCAAGACATAAAGGACCAGAGATAGATGTAATAAAAATATGGAGAGACCGTGGTCAGTTTGCAATCTGGGTCGCTTCAGTGATTTATTTAAATATAAATTCGATCCCTAATCATAAGTGTGTCTGATAGGTGATTTGACTTAATTTTGAACTAAATTTTTATCTTATTAATACATTTAGGCAATTGAAAAATAAAGCTACAATTGCTCCAGTTGTTGTGACAATACATCGTGGACAACGTTTAGTTGGAAAAGAAAATTCTCATAAAATAATTACAAAAGATTTTATTCAAATAAAATAAATTATTTTTAAATTAATCGATAAGTATTTACTAATATGTATTAAATTTATTTGGTTAAGCATTCTTAGATTGACCAAGCATTCCCAAAAAATCACAATTAGTAATTGTCAAAAAAATTTTTGTAGTTGGATAATTCAATGTTTTTTAAAAACTTTGAAAAATTGAAACTAATTGTAGATTCTATTGAGGACTGGCAGTCCTTCTTCGTGTATACCATATTTTTTGAGCTTTGTTCCAAAGATAAAGGATCTAGGATTAGCGAATACGGCAAATATGTGTCTGACCATTATGAGCTTTTGACTATGTAGAAATATTTAATAATAATTTTATTCTTTTATATACACAAAAATCATAACTCTTTTAAAAACAATAAATGAGCAACTAAATGTTTGGCACAAAAATTTGAGGTCATAAAAATTAAAAAGGTACATATTCTGTTTTGCCCAATTCACGTTGACTTAGAAAAGTGAGCGCTGACCTTTAAAGATTTTTAATATTTTTAAAATTTCAAATTTCAACTTTACCAATATAATATATTAAATATAAGAAAAAGCAAAGGGAAACAACATCTTGAAAGTCTGTCAATTTTGGAAGGACTGGAAAAAAATTTTTTTTAATTTTTTTAGTTAAATTACAAATTTTTGTTAATAATTTTGATACAATGCGGATTATCTCCTCAATATTTTTTCTTTCTTTCTGTCTTTCGGATTTAATATTGTACGGTTGGAAAAGTTTCCTAATAGTCTAGCAAGCTCCCCTAGGGCTCATATATTCCCCTCTAGCTAATTTACAGAATCAAATCCGACCCAATCCTTTGCTATTTTCTGGTCTGGATTGGCCGCTCTAATAAGTATGTGAACCAATTCCTCTCACTATTGTTCTTATCTACGTGATTTTTCAAAAAATATTTTTCTGCCATTATGAGTCCTTTGCCTAAATGAATGTGGAAAGATAACCTCATTGTATCTTTATTATTTTTATTAAAAACAACTGCAAAATTATTTTATTTTTTAAATTTTGAATGTTAATATTGCAAAGTCGCGCGATTTTCTATCCTTCCTTTTAATGTTACTTTATCCCCAAAAGTAAGCGCAAAATATTAGATTATGCAAAAAGCTTAAATTTGTTAATTTTTAAAGCTTTAAGCAATTTAAATTTGTTATTTTTTATTAATTAAAAAGCCTTCTCTGCACACTAACTTCAACCTTCGGCAGGCCCAAAGTGTTAGACAAAAGCCACGGCGGCTAGAGACACTCATTCCGAATGTTCCGACACTCATCCCACCATAATATGAATAGGGCCTTCGTTTTTGACGTCTTTTTAAGAAATAATAGTTTTTTGTAAAAAAGGTCAGAGCTCAGAATGGTCAAATATATCCTTTTGTCTATTAACTAGGAGTACCGTATTTTTCTTAATAATGCGACCGGTCGGTTTATTTTTCAACCTATCTCTGGGGGGTTTTCGCCCCTGGCGGTGAAAAAAGAAGAAATATGGTACCTTGGCTCTCCAATTCTTCAAAAAAGGGGGTCAGTTTAATAGAAGGGGTCGGTCTAATAAAGACAGTTGGTAGTGCACTATGCACTTTACGATAGTGCAAAACTATAGTGCACTTTATTGCTAATTTACCATTCTGAGCCCGAAAAATTTTTTCCCGGGAAAAACTGACCATTTTGAGCCTTTTAAATATCTAACAAATTAAATTTTGTATCTTACCGATTCGTCTTTCCAGCCTTTGATAGTCCATAAGGTATAGAACTGGAAAGACCTAATTCGGAATGATTTTGAAATTGTCTACCAGGATATTGAAGTAAAGGAATGTTACTGTAAAAATACATTTTATTTTTTAACTAAGAGATCCCCACCCTAATCTACAATCACATTCTGGAGATATCGGCATTTGTGTGGTTGTTGTGTCACTTGTACCTAGTTGTTGGTTTAAGGCATCAGTAGAGTTTTGATGTTGATTGTTAGCTTAAAAGGGAATCAAGCTTAGTTTTCCTGCCCCTTTAGGCGATTTTCCCGTTCCTAGACAACTCATCAACACAAGGGGAAATTCGGTGAAAAGTGTTCGGTGAAAAATCTTTCGGTGAAATTATCCTTAGAAATTTACAAGTAAGTGGAGCAGCCACCAAAAGACCTGGAGCTTTGTAAACATAAGATTGAGCATTTGGTGAGGGAACGGCTAGACCGCCAGCAGGGGTTGTTGGAATGTTCTATTAAAAACAAGAAAATTGAGTTGAATCTAAGCTGCGGTTTACCATAAACATGGGATATTCTGTTCCACTTGGGGCCATAATATTACCGGGACTAAACGCGGAACTCTCATTTCGTTGAACGTTGGCACTTGCTGGAGCAGAACGTATTCTCTCACGCCTGTCCCTAACACACATAAAAGTGAAAAATAAATTAATTTTTAAATTTAAATGGGGAAGGACAGTTCACCATAAACACAATTTAACATAGGGTATAGAAAGATTAAGAAGGATTTGGAGAGATTACCGGGAGTTAAGGAGGATTTGTAAGGATATCGGAAGAGTAAGGGAGATTGAGGGGATAAAGTGGGATATCGTGGAGTTTTGATGGGATCTCATCTAAATCCCTCAATCAAAGGATTCAGGGGATTTAAGTAAGATATCGAAACATTTCTGTTCTGGTTTCAACAACCCCCAGAACAAGAAATTAGAAAAATATCAGAACAAAAAATCTTCTTTGGAGTTGAATCGGTATTTTTTGCTTTTTTGGCTTTGTTTTTGGCGTTTTGTATTTGGCGATTTTTTAAAGATTCAAAAATTTTGTTTGTCTTTTACGTTCCAAGTGAACCTCTTTGCGCACTGTCTTGGTCCATAAGATTAATTGTCCTTATAGTGGATTATCCCACATGGCATTCAGTAAACTGTTTGATAGTGAACCGTCCTACTGACACATTTAAAAAAAATATTTTTTACCTTCTCCTACACTGTCGTTTATTCCAATAACTAACAATGGCATATTCGACTAATGAGGCCTTAGATTATGAGATTAACTACAGGCTTAAATAAAAAGCTTACAAAAACCATAACGAAACAAAAGTTTAGGAAAACATCCAATCCTTTAATATAGCTAACTTTGGGCATTGAATTATTTGTTGTTGTGATTAGAGTCGTCATTGTAAGTACCTTTAATATGTTAAGACGGTAATACGGTCAAAACTCATTTTATTATACACCCTTAAGAACTAGGGCAAACTCGTGCCTTATAATGAGATGTATCTTAAATAGAGGATATCGCTTAGACAACTCCCCTGCCTTACTACGTATCTTTTAATGAAAAGCTTGGAGAATGGCATTATTTGGCGTCCCAGCGAACCTTTTTCCGCACAGCCCCAACGGTGAATTGTCCGTATGGTTAAATGTGCGTATTGTGAAGTGTCCTCAATGGTATTCCGTGAAAACTGATGTATTTTATAGAGGTCATGCTGTATCTTATAGAGAGCTCCGTCTATGTCTTATAAGGAGCCTATCTTATAGAGGGCTCCGACTGTATGATGTATAGAATATTACCGTTGTTACACCCAAACCAACACGTGCAGGAGAAGCTTCTCTGCTCAACCAGAAAGATACCCAAGATATAGATACGATAAGCATTGACTTTAATAAGATTTTAGTTTAAAAAATCAAAGAGATTTACAGGTATAATAATATTCATTAAATAGAAGCCCAAATTTCTCGACAAAACAACTTCAATATAAAGACGAGCATATTCTCCAGAAGCTGTTGTAACGTGTGTTCCAGTTACCCGATAACCTTTTGCGTGAAATTGGGGGAGGAAAAAGGCGTCAAAATCAACCTTTTTAAGGGGCAAATATTAGATGAATTTTTTAAATTTAAATTTACAGCATCTTCTGACTTCTTTCCATCGGAACGTCGGTTGCCCCAATAATAATCTTTGAATTAAAAATAATTTTTATAAGAATTTTGAGTAGATTTTGGCAACAAGATGAAAGCCTAGTAAGTAGGCTGAAGAGAACATGGTCCGTTCGGAATAAAATTTTATCTGAAAGAACGTGTTCCCTTCGGACTAGAGTAAGCTGAAAAGAACGTGTTCCCTTCGGACTAGAGTAAGCTGAAAAGAACATGTTCCCTTCGGACTAGGTAGTTGGCTGAAAAGAACGTGTTCCCTTCGGACTAGGTAGTTGGCTGAAAAGAACGTGTTCCCTTCGGACTAGAGCGTAAGCTGAAAAGAACGTGTTCCCTTCGGACTAGAAGGTAAGCTGAAAAGAACATGTCCATTCGGCCTAGAAAGTAAGCTGAAAAGAACGTGTTCCCTTCGGACTGGAAGTAAGCTGAGAAAAACATGTTCCCTTTGGACTAGGTAGTTGTCTGGAAGGCACATATTTTCTTCTGGCTAGGGAGTCAGCTAAAAGGAACATGTTCCCTTCGGACTGGAAGTAAGCTGAGAAAAACATGTTCCCTTTGGACTAGGTAGTTGTCTGGAAGGCACATATTTTCTTCTGGCTAGGGAGTTAGCTAAAAGGAACATGTTCCCTTCGGACTAGCAAGGCTAAAAAGAACATGTACCCTTCGGACTAGGAAGGCTAAAGAGAACATGTTCCCTTCGGACTAGGAAGGCTGAAAGTATCATGTTCCTTTCGGACTATAAAGTTATTTATCTAGAGTAAAACTGTAGTAATCTACCAATATCATCAACATCATAACCATAGCTTTCCAAGCCAAGTTTACATGTTTGTGAATCCATTGGGAACAATGCCAAGTCCATTGGACACATTGCTTTTACTGTCATTCTCTGGGATGTGTAAATTCTTCCATCAGGTTCTATTCTCAAGAATGTGTTTGGAGTTGTAGCAACGTGGAACATTGATGTTTTCTCATTTGGAAACTTAAATTGGCTTAGGTAATTTAAATTTGAATTCATTCCGCACTACTGTAGATAGGACGACATTTTTGCAGTCGAACCACACTAAAAGCTACAACAATACTAGGAAAACCCCGTCGGATTTTCCGGAGTCCAAATCTCAAATCCGGGGTCTTTATAATCTCGATTGTTTCCGGACCGGATTGATGTAGAAAAATCCGGACGGATCCGGTCTGTATCCAGCTACAAATCCTGAATCCGGGCAATCTTGTAACACCGGATTGGGACTGGATCTGTTTTGTTATTTTCCCATTTTTTTGTCTAAGAGAGAGATTGAGAGAGACGTTGAAAAAAAAGAGAGAGACCTTGAGGCCTTCTGAAATTTCCAAAAAAATTTCCCTAGTTTATCTGTTCTTAAATGAGGTCTGACAGTATTTTAATAATATTAAGCCACCCTATCTACAATACTGTCATATTTTTTAGCTTACAAAAGTATCAGGCTTCCATAATCTATCTAAATATTCAACACCCACAGTCAACTTCTTTATTCTTCTAGCCAATTCTGGATCAATTTGTGCAAAAGCTAGTCTATTATCATACCTATTTAGCAAGATTACTCAGAGAACTGTTAAATAATTACCAAGTCTGTCTCAAATAAAAATCCAAAGTAAAGTCCATATCGACTTCCGAGACTGCACTGATTGATGTTATGTGTATGGAGATACCAACATCGACCGCTCCTTCACTGTAACGAGGTCTTAGTCTCTTGTCGTAAATGGTTCCGTCTGTTAATCTATCAAGGATCTGAAAATAAAATTTGTGAGGTTGGCTTCGAATGGACCTAAAGATTTTCCGGAAGAGGTCGTAAAATCCGGTTCCTTGAGTTTAGAATTGACAGGTTTATGCATTTCAGACTGGTTTATGTATTCAAAACTTTTTTCGATTTACGATTTTTAAGGATTTATTTTGTTCTCAAATAGCTCTGGTTGGGTCCTCAGGTATCAGATATATCCTCAGGTATCCTTTAGGTATTTAGCAGTATTCCAACATACTCTCATTCTTTTACCTGTGAAATGTAGCTAGTATTTATGCCATTTTTTGGAGGATGTTCATTGTTATACTGCGAATTCTCTTCCCACTGAATAGATAGCTCGTCGTTACCGTTTTGTGATGAATGTTCATTACTCATTAAGGTAGCATTGGCTCCTTTTTAGAATTATTTTTTAAAAACATTTTAAAGGACAAACCAAAATGCCTAAGGCAAAAAGCATTGATGGCACTTAACAAAATTAAAAGAAAAATTTTTAGACGAGTATGAGGGCAATATAAACGTTTTGAAGATTTTCTAGCAAAATTTCTTTGAATTCGCTTCCATCTCAAATCCTTTAATTAAAATTATAGTGGTTTACGTTTAGGAACATTCCTGCTCTATATCCCCAAGCAGATTCATTTTTATTTCCTAACTAAACTATTTTTCTTTCGAATACTATAAAAGCCTTTGATATTTACCATTTAGCTCATTGTATGTTATAGATATGGTCAAATAAATATTTACTAAAATGTTTCTCAACGGTTTAGTATAAAAGCTTTAGTTAAATGTCAGTCTGTTTCAGTCAGTGTAAGTCAACCCTCAATCTTGGAGTTGGTCTGACAGACCCAGAATATAACATTATCAATAACTCGAATTGCTATCGAATTTTACAAAATCGTGGTCTACCAAAAAAGGCGAAAAAGCTTAATACGAGGAATGGATTTTTGATTTTATAATAATGGAGTTTGGAGCAACTCATTTCACAATCCGTGTTACAATAACAGGAAGGTGCCGTATATTTCCATTTTTAATTTTAACCTTATAAAGTGATATTCTTTTATTTTTCCTCCACGGATAAGAGCATTCCTCCACATCTTCAGATTTTTTCTCTTCATTTAATTGGATTTTTCTTTTATCCAACGTATTTATTTTTGTTGAAGAAGGATGTGATGAACAATTATTGTGATTATATAATTTAGATAATTTTTTTATTCTGTTGTCCTCACTTTGAATCATTGAAGCATTTGCCGGAAAAATAAAATTTTAATACAAATATTTTTTAAATACGGTTGAATCTCTCTAACATGTCACTCCTCGGAACCGAGCTTAGCTGACATTTTAGAGGTAGAATTCAGCTAAATCAAACTAAGGTGAACTAATCTGACTGCGACCAACCTAAGGGATTTCTCGATGGTCTAGTATAAGGGAAGGTGATAGAGAGAGAAGATCATAGAGGGGCGTTGTGTTAGAAAGATTTGATAATATGCCGAAGAACGAAAAATTTTAAGGAAAATTTTTCGTTGAAATCATGTGTTTTTCAAGAAAAATCGACATTTTTAATATTTTTAAAAGTATTATTGCGCGTGTGAAAAAAATTCTTCCTGACAGCATGGATTGAGTGTGGAAAGTGCATATTATGCTTTAGTTTATGAATAAATAATGAACTGGATGACAAAGAAAACAACGTAATAAACCCCCTTTTTACACTTTTTTAAGATGTTTCAGTCGGACTTAGACAGTCTCCTCCAAGCGTTTAGACAGCCTCTCCCTATCCAATAGTCAAATAGAAATGTTATCTTAAATTTACTGAGGGTAAGTGTGCTCTGATTGTATTAGAAGTTAGAGCTTGAGGGTTCAATCCAGAGCTGTGCGCCAAAATTTTCGCGTGGCGCGCCAAACGCCAATTTTTCAAATTTTTAAATCACGCCAAACACAAAACGCCAAAAACAGACGTCAAAACAGTTTAAAAATATAAACAAATATTGTTGTACTATATTTTTAAAAATAATTTTAATAGAAAAATGTAAAATACGTTTGGGAAATCAACCAAAATGTAACTCGTTTAAAAAATATAGTCACAAGATTTTGTGAATTTGGGGGTACAAAATATTATCAAAATTTGGTTAACTTGTTCAATTTATAAGCAAGTTGTGAAAGAAAATATTTTTAATACCTTGGGGAATATTATGTAAATATTAAAATTATTTTTTTTTATTTGAAATGTAGAAATTTAGGTAGCGATAAATTGAAAAAGAAAGAAGGAAATAATATGATAAACAAGATATATGTGGATTAAGGTTGTTGGATCCGGCTATCCGGATCCGAAAAAGACCGGATATCTGGAACTTTTCGGGTCGGATATCGGATTCGGATATCCGAAGATTTTCAACTAGCCGACAACCTTACTCATTACAAGATAAACCCAATATTATATGTATGTACATAAATAATCTCAATTCAAAATAGGTTTTAGATTTGGTCGGCTAATGGGAGAGAAAGAGAAACCTTCAATATCTGAGAGAGAAAACCTTCAATTTAACATACATTATAATGTACGAGTCTCAGCTTCTTATCAATTAAGGAAGACCTCATTATTAGATATAGAGTTGGGGTAAATTGAGGTAAGCCCTAATTAGCTACAATTTTCCAGCCCCTTAGGGTATATCTTTTTAAGGTTATTAGAAATAAACAAACATATCTTAAGAAAAAATGCAATAAAAGTACAGAAAACATTTATTACTTCTTCAAGGAGAAATGAGGAAGTAAAAAACTTTTGCGCTACTTTTCCCCCTATACTTTTTCAAATTCTCTTTATTTTTTCTAAATTGTCTTTTTTGCCCTTTTGCCGTTTTTATTTGGCTATTTTACGTTAAGAAGGAAGATATTGATGAGAATATTAAATGTCGATTTTCACGGGACGTCGCCGCAGGCAAAAAAGGGGAAATTTGCCAAAACAGTGGGCCAATTATCTAGCTAAGATTTTTTAAAAGAAAGTTAGGTTAAACACTTTTGAGTTTTACAGATAATAAAACTTTTGGACTCATTAAAAGATACACCTTGAGGTCGAAAAATGACCTTATAATGAGATACCTTAAATAGAGAGGTATACATTAGAGGACGAAAACCCGTATCATATAATAAGCGTATTTTAAATAGGGTTTTGATTGGGGGCTAAAAACGTACTTTTGGACTCACTAATGAGGACCTTAGATAGCAAGGTATTGGTTAGAAAATCCCCAACCTAATATCCAACCAACTTTTAAAAAAACGTCTCTTAAATAGTTGTATTTATTATTGGGTGTATCTTATAGTGAAGTCCGATATTGGAAGAACGTGAGGAACCCATGCCTTGATTCGTGGTTGTAAAGTCAGCTTCTGAGCCTTTTTGGATATGAGCGACATATGAGGGAATGATGGACGCTCCCGGTTCTGAGTCCTCCCCAGTTCCTCTACTTCCCCTTTCATACTTCTCCGTCCTTTTTATTGGAAAGTTCCTATGACTCAAATTATTTGATTTTTAATTATACAAAGAAAGTTAACCGGATGTTTGCGTGTTTTTTCCTTAAACTTTTTCTTTGAAAAATATAAATGCCTTGCATGTTACTAAGAAAAAAAACAGGAAGGGGGAAAATTAGCTTGTACTTTAACCAAAATTTATTTATTTTTAATATATCAATGTCAACCTAAAAAACCTTGCTTGCTTCCTTTTTGGTAAAGAAATTGTCTCTTATAATGAGGTGTATTTAAATTGGAGGTTTTTCTTAGACCTCTCCTCCTAACGTATGGACAATCGAATTCAAAAAAAATTGCCCTAAATTGAGTTGCCTTTTTTGGCGTTCTGTCTTTTGGCGTTTTTAAAAATTTTAAATTTGCCAGGCGAAAAGTTTGCACAGCACTGGTATCTTATTTTGAGGGTAGCTTATAATGAGGTTTATTTTATACTGATAGGTGTATTTTAAATCGGAGATTACTTTTAGACAGCTTTCCTTTAGGCACTCTCACAGCTCCTCCTAACCAGTGGGCAATCAGAGTTAGAAAACGTATCTTAAATTGAGGCGTCTTATATTGTGTGTCTTATAAAGATGTTCGACTGGTAAAAAATAAAAAATGCTTAAGAAAACAATTTTGTTTAACTATAAGATTAATCGAAAAAATAAAAAAGAGAAGAAAGACATTCAATTACAGGCAATAAAAATAAGAAAAAGAAAGCCTAGTGTAAATGAAATCTGATCGGACAAGATATCTTCGGGAAAGGTGGTTTTGAGAATTAAGTTGGTCCAACAAAAAAATCTCCAACTGGCAAATATAAAAAAATAAAGGGTTTGTACTTGAAGATTTATAGGTTCCTTTCTTTTATCTGCTAAAAAATCCGCAAGTTTTGTCCGCAATTGTAAATGAGGTCCGAATTGGGGTTGATGTCTTGGGGTTGGGGTCTTGGGATTGGGGTTCGTCGAGTTGATTTTTTGGGGTTGGTTTTTTCGATTCTCCAACCCCGAATTGATTTTGGCTAGAAGTTGCATATACCGCTAAAAGTTGCGGACAAAACTTGCGGACTTTTAAGAGCATTAGAAAAAAAGAACAACATTCCCTCAAAGATTTATCGGATAAAATCCCACCTCAATCAGATAAAACAAATTGATATGTCCCCATTTATCAAGAAAAAAAAAGATTTTTTTTTGTTTTTTACACAAGTACTTGAGTACCAAACAAAAATTGGGGTTTGATTAAAACAATTGTTTAAAGTTTTTGTTTTTGAAAAGGGAAGAAATGGAAGGATATGTATTTATTTTAATTGAAAAATTCCTAGTGAAAAGGAAAACACAAACAAATTAATTGTTCCTTAAAAAATATTATTTCAGCAAAACAATTGAATCTACCTCGAGTAAAGGGAGATTTAGAAGATTCTCTCTTTTCCTTAGAGGGAAAGTGATCGAGATCAGGAGTTTGCTAGTTTCGCCTTTTCAAGCGTCGCTTTTAGTCTTTTCTAGTTTCGCTTTCCTCTTTCTCAAGTCTCATTTTTCTTTTCGAGTTTCGCTTTCGCCTGGGCAGGTTTCGACTTTCGCATGACGAAACGGACTGATTTGTGAGAGTGTGTCATAAGGAAATTTTGAAAGGTGGAAGAAGGTGGAAGCCGAAAATGAGAGTAAATTCAACAAATCAAAATCTACAGATGAAATATTAGAAAGACGAAATTCGGCGAAAACGAAACTGGCACTCTGTGTGGCTTAAAATAATAAAATATTAAAACAAAATTATTGACAGCAAATTGGCGTCGTTTAAGAAAAATATTTTCATGAGGGAGGAGTTCATAAAAAAGAAGTGGACTTGCTTTTTGTACATCATTTTCCAAGCATTCTCCAAAAATACACACCAAATGAATAATAAATAGCCTTATATGAAATACAATTGCAGCTATTTCGCCGCGAGTCGAGTTCGGCGCGGAGCCATAACTCGTCGTAAAAATGTCCTAGCAAGCTAATTTTGGTACCAATCGACGCGGCTCGACGAGCTGCGTCGATTGGTACCAAAATTGTCGCGATCCGACTCCCCTAGGTTAAGTTATAAGGTTTTAAGTAGACTGTGCTGCGGCAGATTGGCGCGTACCCCTCTCCTCCTTCACAAATTGCTGCCAGCCGTAAAAGAAAGAAAGTCCTTTAAGTAATAAATGGTTAAAGAGGAGACAATAAATAATAATAAAAAGAAAGAATAATAATAATAAAAATAATAAGCCGCTGGCCCTCCAGAAAAAGAAGCTCTTCCTTGGCACTATTGAATAGGGACATAAAGCAGAAAAAAGTGAAGGAATTAATGAACAGATGATGGCATACAAATTATGCACATTTTAAATTTGATCATGCGATAAAAAATAAAATTGTGAGAAAAACAAAAAAATGGGATAATTGAGACAATAAAGTTGCCAAATTTGTAGGATTTGTAAGTTTATCCGCAAAGTTTTTGCGGATTTTTTTGTATTGAAGGGTTTTAGGGTTCCAGAAGTTTTTTTGACCTTACAGATTGCGGCTTTTAATTACGGTTGAAATTTGCGGACTAAAATTTGCGTATTTTAATTACGGATTGACATTTGTGGAGTGTTTACGGATTTTAATTGCGGACCTCTTTGTCCGCAACTTTTTTGCGGATTTTTTGTATTGTGAGCTTTTAGGGTTCCGCAAGTTTTTAGAACTTGCAGATTGCGGATTTTAATTATGGATTGACATTTGCGCATTTTAATCACGAACTGGAATTTGCGGATTCTAATTGCGGATTTTTCTGTCCGCAATTTTTTCAATTATTTTTTCTCCAGCTGTGAATAAGAGGAAATACATAGTAAATTATTTTTGTTACAATTAAAAGAATAAAAATATTTTTAAAAATATTTTTATGTAGATTTAAAGGAAAATTGCAATGTGTAAAAATACATTCACAAATATTTATATATGTAATCTTTAGTCCAAGATTGGAATTTGTTTTCTTAAAAGAATTTTCCTAGCAGAAAGAATGCCCTTCCTAGCAAGGCGACTGATGGAAAAATTAAAAAAATTTTTGGAAGAATGTTTGTTCTCGTAAAATGTCAAAATGTCAAAAATTATACAATGATTTTTTATGTTTTGATAGTTTTGGAACAAGTAAAAGTGATTTGACAGTGAGAGACATAAACAGCTTTAATGTTTAGTGTGAAGATGGGGGTCTGTCCGGCGCGAGCCTAATACGGCGCGGAGCCATAGCTCAGCGTAGAAATGCCCTAAAAAGACGATTTTGGTACCAATCGACGCAACTCGACGTGCTGCGTCGATCGGTACCAAAATTGACTAGATCCGACTATCACACGTCTAGTTATAAGCCTTGCGGCAGTGCGGGTTGGCGGTGGACCGGGGTATATGTAATAGGAAAAATGATTGAAAAATGAACAAATGGCTGGACAAAATAAAAGGTAAAAAAATTGTCTTCTTTTTAAGATGGCGACAGGAAACATATAAAAATAAGCGGCTGTTTTTTCTAGTTTTGTTGAATCAATTTTTGGAGATTTTGATTTTATGGACATTGGATGTTATGTTAAAAATATTAGTCCAGTTTATTAAGGGAAATGTCCGAAATATAGACTGACCTCACTAAAAGATAACCTAACAAGGGCTTTTAATGGCCTCTAGCTAGGAAACACATCATTACACCTAGCTAGGAACACCTCATTATATAATGATAACAGCAAATTTTAGCCACACTTGTGTTTAGGGATCGGAAATTTTAAAAATCCTTGACCTTGATGTTAAGTGAGGACTTCAAGTAACTATCAAGAAACACTGAAAAATGCTTTGATCTGCGTTATGGATCCAGGAAAAATCAATGTCTGGATCCAGATCCATGCCAATCCCTAGTGTGTATATCAGGGGTGTACTGGTTTCGAATTTCGTCGGGTTTTGCCACTTTTTACGTTTCAACTATAGTTTTTTAAATCATTCTCGGTTCATCCCAAGGCTTTAGCGAAGTCCGACCAATTAATTTATTGCAGATAAAATTTAAAATTTTTCCCTTCAAAGGACAACTGTTTTTTGTTGATTTGTACTAAAACCTCCTACTAGATAAACTAATTTAATTCGTTTGTTTTAAAAGAGAAAACACACCTTTTTAATTAAATAATTAATGTTTTTGAAAAAAAGTTATTTTTTTCTTAATTGTTGGAAAAATAGTAAAAAAAACATTTGTCATGTGGAATAACAAAATTTCGCTTTTAAAATCTTTTTTGAAAAATTTTTGATTTTACAATGACAGCATATGTATTGGGGTTATAAATGTAGGTGACTTTAGTTAGAATGAACTCACCAGGCTGTATGAACTCACCAGGGCTGTCCGCAATTGCGGATTGCGTGGTTTTTGGACTTGCGGATTTTTTAAATAGAATTGCGGATTGCAGTGCGGAAAATTTTTTTCACTTACGGACAGCCTTGGACCTAACTCTGGCACATACACGCCTTTGAAACAAAGAAAAAATCTTATACTGCTTTGTGGAGGCTAGAATGGGGGAGGGGGAAGGGGTTAAAAATTAAACCATAAAAATTTTTTTAATTTTTTATTTGAATAAATTATTTAATATTTAAGCGATAAATTAGGATTTATATTTCCAAAAATCTATTTTAAATTCACTTTTTTTCTAACTATTTGACTCACTTGCCTCATATTCTTCATAAGTCTTTTCGTCCATCAATTGCGAAAGTTCACTTGGGTCAACGATTTTTAATTTGTAAAGCCAACCTAAAAATTTGAAAAGTTATAAAAGAGGTGGAATCTCATTATAAAGTACCCCCATATGGGCTGAAAAATAGTCTCTTATAACGAGGTGTTTCTTAAATAGAGGTCGAATCTCAATAAAGATGGGAGGGCTAAAAAGCCCCCTTGGGCTGACAGGAGGCAAGGGGGCTGAAAGTAGGCAATTTTTTCAATTTTCAGCCCTATTTGGGCTAAAAATTGATATAAGGGAGGGAGATGTTAGAAAGAGATCGGTCCAATATGACACCCTTAGGGTTTACAAAGTGTCTCTTATGAATGTTTATTAAATAGAGGGTAAACCTCTTTACCATAATACCACCTTCGGATCTGAAGTATAGTCTTTATAATGAGGCGTTTATTAAAGAGAAGGATCCCCGTGGTCAACCAAATTATAAAAAAGGTATCCTAAATCGAGGTAAATCTATTATTGTGGGTGTCTTATAATAAAAAATCAAAGAAAAACCTTTCTCAAAACAAGATTTATTGACCAGCTGCGGCTTATCTTGAACCTCTGCGTTCAATTCGACAACTTCTCCAGTCATAGGTGAATAAAGATCAGAGGCAGCCTGAAATTTAAAAAATTTAATGAATAAAGGAATGAGCTATAGTAAAAATATTCAAGATTTTTCTTGACAAAATTTTATTAATTTTTGCGGACAAACTTTGCGGACATATTTTTTCTTCCAATTTTCTCTTTTTTCTTCCAATTTTTTTCTTTTGCTTTGGTGACTATAGATCGAGATTTTGAAAAGCCTGGACCTGTTACTGGACTCTGCTTTTAATTTATTGACCTGGGCCGGATCCTAATTGTAAGCCTGTAGTCTAGGAAAACCCCAGGTAGGTCAAAAAAATGCCTGGGCCTGGACTCTGAGTACAGGAAAAACCCAGGCCTATGTCCAGGTCCAGCTCGATCTCTCTTGGTCAACTGATTCAAAATAAAAAAAATTTTGGCTTTATTAAAGAAGAAAAAATGGAGAAACTAGACAGAAAACTGTCCGGAAAAGATCAAAAAAGTTGTCACCAAAATTTTATAAAAAAACCTTAACACTTTCAATCGCCCCAGCGGTGTCATCTTTAGCCAATTTAGTACCTACTTCAGGCAGTTCTACATAGACGACATCACCAAGTGATTGCTTAAAATTTTTTTATTTTTTTAGAGAAACTTAAATAAAACCTGCGCAAAGTCGGTAATACCAACAGTTCCAATTTCACCTTTAACATGTTTTTCCAACTCAATCCATTCATGCTTCTTTGTGTAATAACGATCTAAAATGAATTTAATAAATAAATGGAAGAATTTTGGAGATAGGGGAGGAAATCTTGCGGACAATTTTTTTCGTACATTTTCAAATTTTTGCGGACAATTTTTGCCTTGCATTGAAATTTTTCATGGAAATCCGCAAAAAAATAAAAAAATTGTCCGCAAAAATTTACAGAATGTCCGCAAAAGGGGGAAAACGTTTTGAAGCCCGACAGATTTGAAGCCCGACAGATTCTTCGGACCGGACCGGATTGGGGCCCCAAACCTAAATCAGAGGAAGAGTAAATAAGAAACAGAGGAGGGGGTATTCGTACCTTTTTTGCGGACATTCTGCAAATATTTTCGGACATTTTTTTGCGGATTTTTTATTGATTTTTTGCGGACATTCTCACCGATTCCTATTAGTTTGCTCTATTCTCTACTAGCATTAAAACAATTAAAAAGGACCGGGACATGGACGTTGCCTGTTTTACTCAAGTCTAAAACAAATAATCAGGCAGGGTAAAGTTTTCGAGTCAAGCCTTCGTTCGAGTCCTTTTTTCGGGTCTCATTTTTATCGGGACGACCCGACCAGACCTTTTTCGGGCCAAGATTTGAAGCCCGACAGATTCTTCGGACCGGACCGGATTGGGGCCCCAAACCTAAACCAGGCGAAGAGTAAATAAGAAACAGAGGAGGGGGTATCCGCAAAAAAACGTCTGCAAAAAACCTATGGATCTTGTACTTACAAGGCCATAAATAATCTAAAATTAAAAAAACCTTCAACTTTGCTCGTAAAAGAGAATTGACGGAAACAGTTTCTTTCGTTTTGAGCAATCCGTTGCAACGTCCAAGTTGAATTTAATTTTGGACAAATAATTGAATTTAATGGTCGAATAGAACGAAGCATTCTAAAGCCTGAAAAATCTGAAAAAATAAAAAAATCAACCCGTACTTGGGTTATAGGGCCGGGACTCAACTGAACTGCTCCGCCGTCGAAAAAAAATACGAAACGCCAAAAATAAAAAAAATCGTGTAAAGCCCAATTAGGCGCGCGCCCAAGTAGGCGCAAAGAAGTAACTTGCTTCAAAATTTCCAAATCTTTCAAAATCTAGTATTGAACGATTCCTCTCATCGAGCTAAAGAGAATGGTACCAAAATTGTTGAGGTCCCTAAATTTTCCAGCTAGTTAAAGCCTTGCGCCTATCTGGTTGCGCGCCTAATTGGGCGTGTCCCAAATAAATCGACTCCACCCCAGAATATCTACACCTCACATACCGTCATTAGGGGTGTATAAAAATTTCGACTTTCGTCCGAAAAAGCGAACGGCGAAAAACGGAAGTCAAAAAAGGGCAAATCGACGAAAGGCGAAAAATTGGACAATTGGTCACTGGACAATCTGCCTCTAATGTCGAAGACTCAAAAATACTTTTATCGAATGATTGCGAGAACACACAAAAAAGCTGTGTAAAAATTTGTCTTTCTCTTTTACACATTTACCCAAAAAAATTTATTCAGCCGGTGCATTCAATAAATATCCTCACTCATCATTGCCTCAAAAAAAGTTATAACGCTCATTTTATTTATTTCTATTTTTATTTAAAAAAATTTGGTGAATGCAAAAGCGTTTGAACTGGTCTATCAACTTTTTAAATTTAAATACCGACTAATTAAAGGCCAAAAATGCCTAAAAAGAAGAAAAAATCTTTAAAAAAGTGCCTGATAGATAAAGGGCCCTGTTAGAATTTTGAAAAAAAATTAATTTTAAAAAATAAGAAAAAAATGTCCAAAATGTCCAGAGCCTAAAATTTCCATTTTATTTTAATTTAAATACTTTATTTCTTTATTCTTTACTAATCCTGCCCAAATACCTGCAGATTTTTATTGTTGTCTTTCATATTTACTGAGCAGACTTATTTTGCTGTTTTCGAAGGCTTATTTAGTTGCGTGTTTATTCTCAAATTTTGTGTAAATTAAGACGAGTTTCATATTATTTTTGAACATAACAAAGGTTTCTTTTTGGTAATTTTGAATTTCGGACCTTTTTTCCTTAAAAGGCTCATCTAGGTTCATGGGCGGGAAAATGCACAAAAATCGAATCTATGAGCTAGACGGCGATTCACGTATTGAAATTCACGTTACAGCAACTGAGGCTGTGCACAGCAAATGTGCGTAATAAAAACTTCCGAAAACCTGGAAAAATAAAGTTTGACCATTATGAGCCTTTTGAGTACTTTAAAAAGGAGCCCGAAATTCAAACTTATCACTTTTTAGATAAAAGAATTTTTTAATTTATTAAGTCAGAACAATGTCAACCAACAATTCAAGTAATGGATCTGAAAATTTTGAAGGTTATATAAGAGAGGAGCCAAGGGAAAGTTTGGAGGATGTTCATTATAATGGTCATGCCAGCGGTGATGAAAATATGGAAGGTTTGTTTTAAATTTTTCGTATGTTCCCTGGGTCCTTTGTGTTTTGCAATGATGTGGGACACCAGGGATGGGCCAGTTCGAGAAGAAAATCTGGTTTGGATTAATCTGACCCATCCATATATGACGCCTCAAAATGGGTTTTTAAGCTAAAGGGTATTTATACGTAGTTGCGGATGCCTCGACGCTAACCGGGGTTAGATCCAGTTGCTCTAGGTCCAAAATTAAACTTCAGAACAAATGAGAACGAAGTCAAATGACACTTACCGAGATTCAAAACTATTATAATCTCGTTTATATTTTAGATCAAGTCGAGCATTCACGCCTTCAAGACGGCCATCAACCAAATTCTCAATCAGTTAGTGATGATGAAGAAGACATGGTTAAGTTAGATAACAATGACCTCAACTACGATGATTATGACGATTATGAAGGGGAGGCTAGGGAAAGGGTTGAAAGCAACAATTCGAGCGTTCATTTACAACATTCCGAGGAGTTGAAAGAAAACGAGGTTTCTTCCTTTTTGATCTTTTACTTTAATTTTTTAAGATGATTGGTGTTAGCGATTCTGAGGGCGAGGAAGCTGATGATGTCCAAAAAGGTTTAAAAGATTTTTTTGAAGATTTTTTCTTTTTTTTTTCAAATTTCCTAGGGAAATTCTGGAAATCTGGGGGTTGTACGGGTCAGGGATGTCCTGGGCTGATGAAAAGGCGGTTGTGGTTTTGGATCCAGTTTTCAACAAAATTTTCTTCAGGCCCCCTTTCCCCTTGAAATCGACCCCTGGATACCAAGGGCGTAGCCAGGGGGCTTCTGCTAAAGCCACTCATCGAAATGGGGAACGGAAAAATTTGAGGAGGGCGTTGTGCAGAAATCGACTCCCACGAAACCGACTCTTTGGATACTCCCTTTAAAATAGGTAACAAAAGGAAAAATAAACTTAAAGGTCAAGTCACCTTAACTTAAATTTACCTTTTAGCAGATCAAAAATGTGAAAAGAGGATGGCTGTAAATAACGATTTTGAAGAAAATGAAGCTGGGGATTTGCCCGAGGATGATGATGGCATTGAAAAGCAAAAGGAAATTAAAAATAAAAAGGAAGTTGAAGAATTAGAAGAAGGCGAACTTGAGGATGAGGACGATGAAGAGGAAATTGAAGAGGTTTAATTTTAAGTTAATTGGGAATATCTACTTTTACGACTATTTATTTACTCTGGGCAACAATCTCGTTAGTTCGGTCTTTTTTCAATTTCATTTATTCTTAAGTTTTACTGGTCACCTGGGAGTTCGTACGTCTTTTAGTATTATTCTTTCTGTCTTCCCAAGGAAACTGGCTTTTTTTAGTCTGTTTTAACTTACATTAGAACATACCTTAAAGGTTTTCTAAGTCAACAGATGGTCCAAAACCCAGTTGCTGTTGACCTTGAACCCTGAGAATAATATAAAATCCGAAATTAATCACTAGAACCAGAAATAAATTGTTTTTATTTTTAAAAATTTTTCAGAAAAGTTCTTCGCCTCCACTTATGGTCAGCTCTTCACAGTCCAGTATTTGTCTACCTTCCTTAGTTTCAAGTCTAAATGCAGCTCAACCGATAGAATTGCCTTTGCCTATAGTTGAACCTATTCAAACATTTAAACCTAGGGAAGTTTGTCGTTTCTATCTTCGGGGGATTTGCAAGAATGGCGAAGCATGTCGTTTTAAACATTGTACACAGTCAGTAGTACAGGTTTTTTAGGAATATTTTTTAATTTGTCAGTTAAAGTGTTCAGTCGGATATCACTGGGAGATACGTACATCATATTTAAGATGCATTTTTTGGATTATCGGGTGGAGTATCAAATCCATTTTGAGGGAGATTCAGGTTCGTTGCCTGGCTGCATGTGGGAAGTCCCCCACCTGAAAAAAATCCTTGTTAATGACATGGTAGCACTTCAACATGTCTGTGGGGGAGGGAATCGGGTCTAGCTTTCCTTGCATATCCTGGGGCAGTAAGGCACTTGCTTGCTACTAACAAGTATATAAAGTCCTTGGCACTCCCCTTCCACGTGTACGTGTATAAATACCCCTTTTTGATTTATTCGAAAAATAAGACGACCCAATTATGCATCTTATAGTGAGGTTCGACTTTAGTACCAAAACAGTTTATTGTTAGTTTTTCTAATTTTATTTTTAGCGACCTCGTATTCAAATCGTTTCAACCTCCTCTTCTTCAACTTTAATTACAGGTGGTGGAAAAGTACCAATTTATTACAACAACAAATTGTCAAATTTAACAAGCATTCCTCCGCCAATTGGCCCTCCTGTAAGTTTTAAAGAATGGAATTTTTAATAAGGGTCGGGCGTGGGTTCGAGGGAAAACTTAGGAAAATGACTGTTTAAATAAATGAACTCATCCCCAGTCTTAACCCTGACCCACTTTAAGCCTAGCTTCAAGGAAAACTTCCCAGGCCTTGCTTCAAGGAAGCCCCTGGTCTCTAAGACCTAGTTTGGGCCTAGCTTCTAGGAAAGCCCCCAGGGCTTGCCCACTTCGAGCTTGGATTCAAGGAAACCCAGGTCTCCAAGACCAAGTTCGAGCCTGGCTTCAAGGGAGCTCCCATGCCTTGACCCACTTCGAACCTAGATTTAAAGTGAGCCCCCAGGCCTTTGCTTACACCTTTTTCAGTTGAACTTTAACATTTTTTCTCATTCTAAGATTTCTTTACTCTCAACCGTTTTTTCTCCACCGCCAAGTGCTTCTTTGCTCACACGTCAACCACCGCCGCCCCCACCTGCTGCCCCACCGCCTCCTTCCAGTACCGAAAGTGTTGCATGGATGGAAGGACTTAAAAAAGCTCGTGAATTGGCTCGTCGTCAAAAAGGTGGAGAAATTCTTCCAATGGAATCGAACCAAACAATTGATGACAATGATGATCAAAGCAGTTTGAGTCCTCCTTTAGCATGTTTGTCGCCAAACCCAAGTCAAACTGACGATTCTTATTATGTTACTTCGTCAGATTTGTAAGTTTTTTAACTTCATGGGGCTGTTTTCCTATAAATTTTTTTTATTTAAGAAACAAGCCAATGAATTTCATTCAAAATCGTCGTACAATTCCTGCACGTGTTGTTGTTGAAGCTGTTTCTGTTGTTTCTCGTGCAAAAGATTTGCCTTCTATAACGTCAACAAGGTCTCAAGCAAAGGTTTTTTTATAAGTTTGAATGATTTTTTACTGATTTTTCTAAATCTAGTCTAATATTCCTTCACTAATGGACTCAATGATTGAACATTCAACGACAGGATCGATATCTTTAAGCAAATTGCAAAAAGGTGAACGAGATAATTTTTGGAATTTTTATTTTGTTCTTGGTTCCATGCTTTTATTATTTCCTTTTTGGGGGGCCGTGAAACGTTTTTGTGATTCTTTTTGCGGATACTGTCTCGACCGCTACAAAAGTCGAAAACTTTGAACCCCAATAACTTTTCGAAATGGGGTCAGGGCCAAAAAGAAAAAATAGGTACTAGGTTTTTGACCATGCTGTATACGTTGGTATACTTTTTATGTTTAAGTTTTTGGGCATAGTTTGCGGTGGTTCCTGTTGGAATCCTCAAAAGACGTCCGCAAACACGATCACTTTTATCTTACATTACCCTTTTTTCTTTTCCAGGCCAACAACGTCAAGTATTAATTACTGGTTCAAATAGCAGTTATTCCGATCCATGGGCCAGATCTTCATCAAATTCAGTCGTTAAAAGAAGTGACGGGAAAATAATGAAAAGCCGTACTGAAATGGTTGTTAATGTTGCTGAACGTCCAAGTAGAAGACGTCGCCGTAGCTCTTCTTCAAATTCATCTTCGGTTTTTTTTAAATTTAATCAGAAAATTTTTTTAAATTTAAAGGACCATTCCTCCCAACGCCATGTTTCCCACAAACGTTCTAGCCGAAGATCTGATGAAGATAGACATCATAAAGAAGCTGAACGTGAAAGAGAAAATAAATTGAAGCGACATAGTTCTGAACAACATAGTGATTCTTTTAATGATATAACTTCGCCTGATGTGAAAAAATCAAAGAAAGCTCATAGCAGTAGTCGGAGAGATGCTTCTGTTGGTTCTTCTGTGTCTTCCGCATCATTTAAGGATTATGACAAGAGAGAAATTCAATCATCTGTTATTAATACAACGAAAAGGAACAGCAGGTTTTACTTGAAGAATTTTGAGCCCAAATAAAATATTTTAGAGAAATTTTTTAAAAGAGGAAAATCTAATCGAAGTTGCTTGGAAGAGCTTCAGTGTAGCCCAAGCCTTTGGGGTGTTCCACGCTCTAGAGTTTATTCATGAGCTGTTCTTTTAATGTTTTCCTTGTTCTATAAAATGGGCAATTCTGAAATTACCTGGTGCGACGTAATGCCAAAATATAAACCCCCAAAAGCTGCCGAAATGACAAATTGGTATTACAGCGATGAAGACGGATCTAAATTAAATTTCGATTGTGATCGTCGAAGCTCATGGGTTACCCTAAGGGTTCGGTCTACGTTTAAGCTCTTAAAAGGAACTTTGATTGGATTTTTCTTTCTAAAACCCCCTTTGTATTCTAGTTTGGCCCATGCAGAGCTTATTGTCAAATATGACTAGAAATTTTTTTCTAATTTTTCAGATCCTCTTCAAACGAATCTTCTGATACATTTGCTTCTCTTTCTCGTGAATCGCATGCAACACTTGGCGCTTTACTCACACACAAAACTTCGACTACTTATTCTCCAAAAAATCGATTTAAAGGGCCGAGAACACCTCCAATGAATGAAAGACCTGAAAGTAAAAATTCTTCATCGGGATATGATGATTATGGAAATAGAAAAATTTCTGTTGAAAGTGGTCATTCTTTTGGGTCAAATGAACGGTTTAATTTTTTATTATTCTTTGGGACTTTTTGGATATGCCGCCCCTATGTTTGAGTATATCAGAGTTTTTTTTACAAAATGGTCGACGGTCTTCTTTTTTTCTTTTCCATTCTACTTCCCTTTGCCATATTCAAATGGGAGATTTAATAAAGAAAAGGAAGGAAAAATTCTGTTCTTTATGTACATATTAGATGTCGGCAAAATCGTGTTTCCGAATCCCGCATGCGGGATTTTTTTCCAAATAATCCCTGTCTTTAAACCGCAACGGGACAGGAATCCCGAGGGACAGGAAGATTCATTGCCAACGTCTAGTACATTTTAAGTGAAGCTCTAATACTTTAAGTGGGTCGGCATATCCAAAAAATTACTTATTTTTTAATTATTCTAAAATTTTTTAAAGTAATGCCAGAAGACATTCACAAACTTTAACGAAAAGTAAAATGAAAGAGGAGGTAATAGAAAATGATCAGGCGCCAGCTGCTTATCGTCTTTCACAACGAAAGGATTCTAATTCCAGTCGAAAGAAAGTTTCCAATAGTAGTGCAAAAATTAATAAAAAATCATCTGATGGTGGAAGGAAAACGAGGTTTAAATTCTAATTTTTTTAGTTTCTTTTTATTAGGGGCATCAAATCATAGGTGGGTGGTAACTAGGAAATTTTGGTTAAGGGCCTATTGTGTTCCCATAAATATTTTTTTTTGGGGTTCTCTCATCTCCTCTCTAAATTACCTATTTGATTTGTCCTTTACGTGGCTACTTTACCCTTTACCTTGGTGTTGCCTGGTACAAAGCAACCCCCTAGTATGCTTTGATGTCTTCACTGCTTCTATGAATAATTATTCTATATCTTTTAATTTTCACAGATCTTCATCTTCTTCAAGCAGTTCATCATCCTCCGATTCGTCCTCTTCAAGTTCTTCCTCTTCAGCTTCTGAAGAAAAACTTGGAAAATCATCATCATCAAAAAAGCATCAGCAGCAACAACATAAACCTTCACTTACAGCTTCGTCAGTTTCTTCATTAAAAAATAAAGGAGGAAATGTTGAAGTTCACCACCATTCTTTGGATAAATTGGTACGTGAAATAAGCAGTGCTGAAAGCGATGAAGACAAGAAAGTTTATTCAAACAATTATAATAGCAGCAATAAAAAGAAAATAAAGAGAGAAGTAAAGGAAGAGATGTTTGATATGGATGAATTACAGCAACAACAACATAAACACCCTTCAAATTCGTCGTATAAGGAAATTTGCAATAATAATAGTATTGAGGTTAAAACTGAAGCAAAATATGTTGATGAAGGTAAATTTTTATTTTTAATTTTTTTGTTGATAAATTAAAAGGGGTTTTGGTTCATGACTTTTTATGCTCTTAAAAAAGTTTCGCAGGCTTCATGTGTAATTTACCTGTGCTTACCTACCGTATTTATTCTAATAAAATGGCCCCTCCATTAGAATGGCCCCTCCAATAGAATGGCCCCTTTTTGGGGGTAATGAAAAATAGAATGGCCACCTCCATTAGAATGGCCCTCCAATAGAATGGCCCTCTTAACTACTAAGTATATGCCTGAATACATTTCTTTATTTTCTTATTATGTATTAAATATTACACTTTAGTAAGGATAATCATAATATTTTCGAGCAAATCTGGAGTCATAAAAGGGAGATTAAGGGGGATATTAGGGGATTTGAGAGGATTAGGAGGGATATCAAGAAATTACAACGATTTAATGAAGACGCAAGGGATTAAGAGGATTAATAGATATTTATGAATTTGACGATATAAGGAAGTTAAATATAAGGTTGTCGGATCCGGTACGGATATCGGATCCGGATATCCGAAGATTTCCAACTATCCGACAACCTTAGTTGAATACATTCATTTTATCAGGGGACTTGAAGGGACATAGGATTTTGAGGAATAATGATGGATTGAGTGAGATTTGGGATAAAATTCTGGAAATTTCAGGATCCCTTGAAGCCATACGAAAATTTTCGAATTTTTGGAAGTTCAGTGTTTTAGTACTCTTTAATCTTTTTAAAAATTTTAGTATAAATTTTTAAAATTTTTAAAAATTTAGAATTTTCAGTACTCATTAATCCTTCGATATCCTCCAAATTCACCAATCCCCTCCAAATCTCTCCCGTTTTCAATAAATTACGTCCAAATTCTAAGATCCCGATAAATTTTAAGAGCCAATTGTACTGTGTGGCACCGAATTAAATCAAAAGTTGCCTTTTTACCAGCCGGCAAACTTAAGTTTATAGTGATACGAATAGGAAAATTCACTAACCAAAGTCAAAAATAAAGAATTTTACAATAAAGATCGATTGAATTTCGAAGTCAAAAAATATTCGATTGGACAATAGATTCACCCAATCTCAGATTCTAACCTATGAAAAATAGAATGGCCACCTCCATTAGAATGGCCCCTCCAATTGAATGGCCCCTTTTTGGGGGTATCGAAAAATAGAGTGGCGGCCATTCTATTAGAATAAATACGGTATTTATTGTAAAATGATTTTGAAAATCTTCGATTTTTTTGAAATGCTTCACATCTCTAAAGGAAGCATGGGTGTGTGTTGGGTTACTCAAACACTTTTTTGACCCGAAATCCGAAACTCGGTTCAATAAATTCTCGAAAACCCCGATTTTAAACTTGACCAGACTTTTCTCTCAACACGTAACATCCCTGTTTAGTAGTACTTTATTTGATAAAATAAATCGTATAATGTGTGGATAAAACTTGCGAGCTTTAGAAAGCGTAAGGGAAAATGAATGACCCCGACCCGATTCAACTAATAAATAGAATATTTTCAGTGACAAAAGGAGATAAAATGCAACAACAAGCTAGTAGTAGTAGTAGCAGTACAAAACGTCGCGAGCAGCTTCTTCGCAAATTGCAAAATGTAGAACAAGCCATTGCTAGACAAAAGTCCTTATTTTAAATTTATTTTTTAATTTTAATAATTTTTTAATGAAAATTTTATTAATAAAATTTTTTGTAGGCAAATGAAAAGAGAAGGTGGTAGTAATAATGTTACTGCATCTTTAGATGAAAAAAGGTCAAAATTGTCTTCAACTAGTTCAAATTAATTTTTATTTTTTTTTAAATTCTTAAGCGTGGTCTTACCTTGCTATGAGATACGCTCTTGGGGTTTAACTGTTGTCTCTTATAATGAGTTGTGTCTTAAATAGGGGGCAGGGAGATTGGGCATCTACCCCACCCATTGTCCAGCCTAACTTTTTAAAGGTGCCTCTTAGAGGTGTGTGTCTTCTATAATAGGTGCCTATTAAATAGAGGTGTCTCTTATAATGAGTGTAACTTGAGCAGAGGTGTCTCCTATAATGGGTGTAACTTAAATAGAGGTGTCTCTAATAATGGGTATATCTTAAACAGCGGTGTCTCCTATAATGGGTGTGACTTAAACAGAGGTGTCTCTTATAATGGGTGTAACTTAAACAGAGGTGTCTCCTGTATCGGGCGTATCTTATAGTGAGGTCTGACTGTTATTCAAATTTGATGGTATTCGTAATGATATTTTGATTCTTGGGTTCTTGTTAGACTTTTAAAAGTAAATTGCCCTTTTTTAATACTGTTTGGGATTTTTCGAGAAGCTAAAATTTCATTAAACAGTTAAAAATTTGGGCAATTTTACTTTATTCTTTATTCGTAAGAATTAATTCTTGAGCTAAACCAAATATATTTTTAATATAATAATTTTCAATGGGAACAAACGACTTTGCAGTTATCCAAAACAGAGTTAGTCGACGACTATTTTACCATTTTTTTTCTCTTATGTGTTGTCGAAAGCTACATATTCGGCTTTTGAGAACACTCGACTTTCAAGTACACGATAACCAATTTTTTTCAAAAGTTTTTCCATTAATCTTTTCGGCCAAAATCTATCTATGTCTTAAAGTTAATGGAAAGTATCCTCTAAAGTCGTGCTACATGAATAGGAGAGATAAACGGCGAAAGGGTCGCCGGCTAACTTTGTTTTTGGAGGACCTTTTGACATTATTATTTTTTATTTATCTTTTAATTTTTTTTGTGATATACATATATTTGGATGTAATGAATAAATAATTGGAAAGCACAAAATTTTGGTTTTTAAAATCTTGTTTTGAAAAGCAAACAATTTTTCTTTAATTATTTTTCTATTTTTTCTGTTTAATTTTTAATTAAATATATTTTAGGATGGAAAATAGTTTAGGTACTTATGGGGATGCTCGTATTAAAATATTCAATTTTGAAAAGCACAAACGTAAGGAGCGTCCAATACGTCGAAAGGCACCAGAGAATTTAATAAGGAGAGCTGGTGGGTTGAAACGTTGCACTGATTTGAAGTGATTTTTTAAATTTTTTACCAGTTCGATCCCGGTACACCTTTGGGGCTGAGTAAGTCGCTTATGATGAGGTGTATCTAAAATATTCTTGGGTTCCTCATCCAGTGACTAACCAGATTTCAATGAGCGTTCCTTAGCTTGTTGTTTATTGTAGTGGGCTGTAGCTCTAAATGAGGGGTATAGTTTTGTCAACTTGTCCCTCCAATGACCAAATAAATTTAAAGAAACGTACATTAAATTGAGGTGTTCTACTATTGGGAGGGTCTTATATTGAACTTTAGCTTATAACGGGAGGTAGCTTTAAATGTGGTGTATCTTTTAGGCAGCCCTTCTGCCTAGTGGACAGCTAAATTCTAAAAAGACGTATCTTAAATGGAGGTGTCTTTAGCATTGGGGTACCTTGTACTTAGACCCGACTTGTTGATTTTCTAAATAAAAGCCCATATTAAAAAAAATAATTTAAAAGGTATGAAAAATTGGTGCCATTATATCAACTTTGGGTCTCGTATTTCAAGTCATTACTAGCCCATTGTAATGAACAATTTGATGAACGCTTGTTACGAATGGATTTTCATGGTGCAATTTTAAGAGTGTCTGATTCTCCCAATAAAACACAGGTGCTTTTTAGAATTTTTCTCCTTCCAAATTAAAAATAGAGGGGCTTCCGGAGCCATTGTGATACGGATCTAATGAAGATTCACCTAAAACCCTTAGGCGTGGGTTTAAGTTATCTACAGGGAAGGAAAAATTTAATGTAATGGAGCCCCTGTGGCGCTATTTTCAACCATCCCACAAGAGAGGGGGGGGGGGTATTAAACTGAAGTGCTTTATAAAAGAGATGGGGGGGGGGGGCTTATTAAATGAGAAGTTTTAATACAAAATATACGATATATTTTGATTGCCCTAGTAATCAATCAATTTTCAGATTGGTCTCTATGGCATTGTACTTCACGAATCAAGATCAACCTTTCAAATGATTACTAAACGTGATCGTGTTATTGGTAGATAATTTTCCATTTTTCTGATTATTTTTAATATTTTTTTAAAGTCATCCCTAAAGAGGACACCACTTTTCAATTTGTTGTAGCTAACAAAGTTTTTACTTTGTTTGGAAGTGCGTTGAAGCAAAGAAGTCATTTACGTGGGAAAAAGGCAAAAATGCCCAAAACTATTCCTTATTTGCTTGATTAAGTATTAAATTTTTTGTTGTTTTTTATCGTTACATTATTATATTCTGTGTAATATGTATACTAGAGGTGTGCCAAAACTGATTTTAAAATGTGTTGCGACAGTTGAGGATACGCACTTGAGGATATGACGAATGAGGACGACAATTGAGGATCTGACATATGAGGACGACAAATGAGGACGACATATGAGGATATGCCAAATGAGGACGACAATTGAGGATTAAAATAATAATAAAAAACGGTGATCCTTGACCTTTTGAAATTCAAAAATGTTCGCCTGCGGCGCTGGAAAGATTATTTTTCATTTTTATCCTCATTTGTCAAATCCTCATATGTCGTCCTCATTTGTCGTCCTCATATGTCAGATCCTCAATTGTCGTCCTCAAATGTCGTCCTCATTTGTCATATCCTCAAGTGCGTATCCTCAATTGTCGTACCGCCTTTTAAAAAGGAGAAAGAAAACATTTAGAAAAAGAAAGTTGGCCACCCCAGCACACCCAGGGATAGACGGACGCCAAAATAGGCAAAAATATTTCCAAGTCGGCTCTCATTTATGTATAAGGTGAATGTGGGGGATAAGATTGGCAGATCCTGGGAAATCCTTGAATGTCCTGATCCTATATTAGATATCCAGTCTTTTTCGGATCCGTAAAATAAATTAGTCTTTCTAAGCTACAACAAATACCAGAAGATAAGTATTTGTTGCGAAACCAATTAACCTTCTAATTAATTCCAATTTTAATACAAATTGAAAACAATTTCCAAAGATTTATTTAAAAAATATATTAATTTTACAAAGAAGAATGAAGGAGAACTTAAGAGAGAGCTTATAAGAACTGATATTGTTATAAGATAGGGGATTTTATACAAACATAAAAGGTGTATATTTTAAGAGAGAGAAGAGAAAGGAAATGCTCGGGAAAGAGCAAAGTAACTAATTGTGTAATGTTTGGTAAAAAATTATATTAAAAATTAATAAAAATATAAATAAATAAAATTAATAAAATAAATAAATTTTATTTATATATTTTCCCTCGTTTTCACGACATCCGAATATCCGTGTCCGCCAACCTTGGTGTCCGCCAGATCTTTCGTAATATCTGTTATGAATTTAACACAGATAAAGATAATTATATTTATGACAACATGAAAACACTTTTTTCAACGAAGAACTTCAAACCATTTGATAACATCAAATCAACTGCAATGTCAGAATTTTGCAAACAATTCCTGAATGGTGCTACTGTTGAATGCAGTATTACAATGGCAAAAGATTGTTATAAATTAAGAATTGACAACATAAACTTAGCAACCTCACTTTTAACCAAAATTTTTAGATTTGTTAACATCACAGCCTTTACTCAATGCTAAATCTCACCGTCAAATTGGGCATCATCACCTTGTCGTAGTTCCGGAGGCGAAAAGATATGGGGATATTCTTGTTTTATATAATGGTATGATAAAGAAGTCTCTTAAAATTGCTGGACATGAAAATAAAAATCATTTTGTTCTTTTTGCCGATGTCAAAACATGTATTTTTTGCAAAAGGCAATTTGCAAACAATTGCCACTAATAAGTTAGAGAAAACAAAGCATATACTCAAGCCTGATAAAGTTTGGCGATATTTCGAGTAAGTTTTTGTTGGAGTTAGTGCTTATCTAACTTATAATCACTCCAGAATTATTACAATTGGAGCGATAACTACTCGAAATGTGGCTGATATAAAGTTTAAAGCAAGGGAAATGATATTGATATGCCGGAATATTAAAAAATATATTATCAGGTCGGAAATGCCTGAGATTGAGATATAGGTCCACGAAAATAGAAAAAATAGGGCGGACAAGCTATTTTTGGGCCATTTGACTTTAATCTGATTTCGAGACGAAATGAATGATATTTATACATATAAATCAAAACTTTCGAATGATATATAAATCAGTAGATTAAATTTACAATAAAATTAAATAATAGTAATTAAAATAATTTAAAATTTAAAAATATTTAAAATAAATTAAGCTTCAATATAAAGCCTGAAACAGATGTTTATTGCTATGATGTTCATCTATTTATTAATGAGTCTAATAAATGTTTAACTAAAAAATATGAGGATGAAGGAAAAGAGCAACTCTTTCGTAATATAATTTACGGACGCCTATAAAAATTTTTAAAAATATTTGTTAGGAATTCTTCCCGCTTCAATGTATTCATATACTGCCATTTCAACATGTATCTTTGGATACTATGTTGAATGCAGTATTACTATGGCAAAAGATGTTATAAATTAAGAATTAACAATATAAACTTTATTCAACTATTTTTATCAACAACAAAGTTGAATGGTGCAGGTTTATTTTATTTTTTTTTATTTATTTTATTTTTTTTATATATTTTATTTTTTATTTTCAATCAACTATTTTTATTCAACTATTTTTATCAACAACAATCAACTATTTCAACTATCAATTATATTTATGACAACATGAAAACACTTTTTTCAACGAAGAACTTCAAACCATTGATAACATTATCAAATCAACTGCAATGTCAGAATTTTGC